ACGTGAGAGACTTTAGTGGCTACCCTCCGGTTTGAAGATAAAAAATGACCATTTCGATGTTGCCTCGGTATGATCTTAAAACCCTAGGGTAGTTACTAAGGTATCTTGCATAGTTTCCTTTGTGACTGTAACGACGTCCCTTAGAATGTCCCTTAAACATCCAACGCGGGGCTACCTACTCACTAATTGTAGGATAGCATTGTCTAAGGGAAAAGAGGAAAAGAACAACCCTTTCGAGTATAGTAGATAGTTCTTAGATGCTTGCCCAAAGAAAAATAAACTTTTACACATACACAAAACTCTTTCAAAAAAAAAACATTTTCAAAACACTTTGTATACTTTCTCTACCAATCTGAGAAACATTACAAAGTTCGTCGTACCAAGGCGCTTTCTTCAAAATACTTTTCAAACAGAAAAAGCACAAGGTATGTCAAAATGAGCTAAAGCATCTAAGATCCCGTAGATAACTACGGATGGAAAGGGCTAACACCTTCCCTTTCCATAATTTATCCCGCTTACTCAGAAATAATCTCGAAAGGTCTTTTCTGTTCTTTTCACCCTTTCCTTTGTTGGATAAAAGAAAAGTATGTGACGACTCTTGCTTGCCGCAACATTTGCGAATACAGACACAAAACCAGTATAACAGTCGGTTCTGCCACCGTATTACACACATGTCTATATGCATTAGATCCAAATACCTTCAGATGACTCAATCTAGGCTTCACACCAGATCAACATTCTTTTGGAGTAATTCCTTCTAGCTTCTTCGTAGGACATCTGTTCAAAATATATGTTGCAGTCGGCACAACTTCACTCTGAAACTCTTTAGGTAAATGTCTGCTTTTCAACATACTTCTCACCATATTCATGATGGTTCAATTCTTTCTTTTTGCAGTTCCATTCTGCTGTGGAGTGTAGAGTGGCACCACCTCATGCATAATCCCCTCTTTCTCACATAACTTGTTGAAGTCTTTCAGCACATACTCTCCATCACCATCAGTTCTCAAAACATTGAGCTTTCAACCACTTTATCTTTCGACCATAGACTTAAACTTCGCAAATGCCTCTATCACTTCACTTTTCTTCTTGATCAAGTAATTCCACAGCTTTCGACTGAAATCATCTATGAACGTGACAAAATACTTATTACCTCCAATCGAATCCACTTGTATTAGTCCACACACATCAAAGTATATGACTTCGAGAATAGTATTTGACCTGATTCCTCCATCCTTTTTGAAGCTATTCTTATGCTTCTTCGCCTGCATACATTCCTCACACACTTCGTTTGGAATTTTGATTTCTGGAAATCTTGAAACCATATTTCTTCTCTTTAAATATATGATATCTCTGAAGTTGAGATGATCTAGTCAATAGAGCCATATTCATTCATCTCTGCTAGCTCTGGTCGAAAAGCACTTGTGCTCCATCACATTAAGTTCGATCTTGAAAGTTCTATTATGAGACATAGAAGCCTTCAAGATTAACCTTCCATTTGCATCGACGACTCTCATCATCTTATCTTTGATCGACACTTTGTAATTATTTTCGACCAACTTCCCTATACTGAGCAAATTGCTCTTCATGCCTTGTATGTACAACACATTGGGAATTACGCACCTTTTTCCATCTTTCCTCATAATCATAATATTACCAATACCTTCAACTGCTAGAATATTGTCATTTGCAAATTTAACTGTGTTCTTCATCGAAGGTCTTATGTTGAAAAACCAATCTTTCCTTCCAGACATGTGTGATTAGGATCCTGAATCTAAGTACCATTGGTCCTTGAATCTATCTTCATCTCTTGTTGTGACCATCAACATCATCTTTTCTTCTTCATGTTTTCCAAACTTTACATCATTTTCCTGATTTTTTCGCTTTTCTAGACAATCACTAGAATAGTGTCCTTACTTCTGACAATTGTAACATTGAATATGTCTCTTGTTAGGATTTCAACCACCACCTCTTCCTCTATTCGCAACACCACCTCTTGGTTTCCTTGGTGTGGTCTTCTCTACTTCAACACGTTTTCTTCGTGTTGATTTCCTCTACCATTCGAATTGGTGTAGCCACATTTACCTTTATTGTCGAACCATTTTCCTTTGCTTTTCTTATCTTTTGATGATTGAACCTGCAAAGCCACATCACTCTTCGACTTGCCTGCAGATCTTTCAGCCATTCTTTGTTTATGAGATTCAAGTGTCCCTTGAAGTTCTTCCTTCGACAGGGTTGACATGTCCTTCAATTCTTCTATGGCAACTACCACATTGTCGAACTTCGGAGTCAAAGATCTCAAGATCTTTGAAATAACTTCCCTTGTTGTTAATGTCTCTCCACAAGTCTTGATTTGATTCACTAGTTTCGTAATCCTAGTGAAGAAATCAGATATGCTTTTGCTATCTTCCATTGGAAATAATTCATACGTTCTTTTGTGAGTTTGTAACCTCACTTCTTTCACCTTCTCAGCGCCTCCAAACGATTTCTTCAGAATCTCCCAAACTTCTTTTAAAGATTCAACATCATTAGCCCTTTCGAAATTGTCTGGGCTGACACATTTGTTAATTATAAAGAGAGCTTTATAATTCTTCTTCTTCAATTGTTTGTATTCTGCTTCTTCTTCTTCTGAAGCGTCTTCATCAAGCGGTTCTAATCTATGTTTCACAAGATCCCAAAGACCTTGAAAACAAAATATAACATTCATTTGTTTGCACTAATTCTCATAGTTATAACCTTTAAGAATTGAGAGACTTGCTGGAAAACTTCGGTTACCGTAATTAATCGCCATCGTGAATTTCTTCTTCTTCCTCGATCGTTCTTTCTTTGAATCACTCAACCGAAGCGCTTAATACCAGATGTTGGAAATCCACTAAAACCTATGATAAATTTCTATCAATCTTGATGATCAAGATTGATATCACCACACTATGACAATGAAAAAATATGAAAGAAAGAAAGAAAAGAGACAATGTAATTTTCTGTAGAGTTTCTCTCTGCCAACAAACTGTAGAAAACTTTATTACTCCCTCTATTTATAGATTTAGGATAGCTTGCTCCTTAAGGCAAATCCTAAAACTATAAAAGTCCAAAAATATACACAAACTCTTCGATTGAACAATGGTTTCCATCGAACAACCTACACACACATAGTTTCTAACCCTATGAATTACAATTTAACAATAACAACAGAAGAAGAGAAGAATGGCCACCGCGAACCAGACCACCGCACAAATCAGCCCACCACCATTACCGCCACGAATCCGAGGTCGCACCACCCCATCGCGAATTTGTCTCTGTTCACCCAGCCATCTTCAGTGTCGTCCAACCACTGGCTCATCCGCACCACCCCATAGAGACTCTGTCTCCGTTCACTCAGCCTTTGTCATCGTCATCCTACCATGGATCCACCACCACGCACAGCTGCATGTTCTTCCTTCAGAGCTGCTGTGTTTTTGAAGTGTAGAGACTTAGGTTAAGTTAATCTTTGAGAAATACTACTTGCTTTCCTTCTCATCTCAACTATTTTCATTTTCAGAGTTTTTAGCATCCAACAATATATTAATTTTTTTGACTTTGATCTCTGCTTGTTAGGAAAGTTTGGTGATTTGTATGATGATAATATGCAGAACTATATCAAATTGCAAACAATGTTTTGATTTTAGTATAAACGTGATGTGATTGTTTATATTTTAGCATTGGGGGTTTGATTAAGTTGTCATGTATATTACAAGAAATGGAAGTTTCCGCTATGTAGTAGCTAGCTAGCGGTGTGCATTAAGTACTCAAACTGCCTTGTGTTTATGTTGGTGAGTTTTGATTGATTTTAGGTTTGAAAATGCAAAACACCCTAATTTTTTCTCACCATATCATGCTATCCTCTATCACTAATAACAGGTTAGATCCAACTCTTGTTTTTAATGGTTTCATATAAGATCTTTTTAGGAACCCTTCGATTAGATCTGATCGGACGATTTAGATCGATTTAGAAAAAAATCATCAGCTCACTATGATGGTGCCATTGAAAATCATCAGCCATAAGATGTAACCAAATGAGTGATCCCCATTTTTAAGGTTGTAAGCATAAAGAAATCACTGGAGGAAGAAAGAGAAGACTTAGGTTAAAACCCTTCCTTTACGCCGATGATATCGAATCGGTGGGTTAGTAAAAAAAATAAAAAAATAAATCAAATTCTTTGATCAGATATAAATGGTCCAATTATTAGATCTAATCAGAGGGTTTGTAAATAAAAATAAATCAAGTTCTTTGATAAGATATAAACCGTCTGATCAAATTTAATCGAAGGCAATACTGTTATCCAATTGTGCAGAACTGTATCAAATTAACATCAATGGTTTGATTAGAAATGTTATGTTTGATTAACTTGTGATGTGTATTGCAAGAAATGAAAGTTTCCTAGCTGTGATCTAGTTTTTATCTGTAGCGGCTAGTAGTGTGCATTAAGTAGTCAATGCTGGTGGGTTTGATTGATTTCCGTATCTACAGATAATAAATTATGCCTCACCTTGTTAATGAGTAAAAATAAATTTATGTATCTACAGAGATGGAAATTTTTGTCTCTATAAATTGTGTCTGCATTAGTTGTATTTCTTTTCTGAAATTTCGTCTTTGTAAGACATAATTCTGTCTGTGTACAATAAATTATGAAATCTGTTTTAGTATTTAAGGTGAATATTTCTATCTCAAAATATAATATAATTTTATCCTATATTATATTATTTATCATCCTAAATATAATTAATATATTGTAATATAGAATCTGAACATAATCTAAATATTATAATATGTATTAAATTTGAACTTATAACATTCATAAGCAAAATATAGTGATAATAATGATTCTTATAATAAGATTATAAAATATAGTTGTACCAAAATGATACTTGCAACATTGCAAAATAAAGTGATAGCTAATGATATATGCTTGCAATATATTACAAAATATAGCAATAGTTAAATAACTAGTCATAAATATATAAATCTAATCCATGAAAAGGTCATCATCCATATTTTCTTCACCCATGTTCTGGTTATCATTCTCTCCTTCCATACCAATACCATCTTCTTCCATTATGATATCTTCCTCTCTTTTATTGTCAATACCATTGTCTCCTTCATTGCCAATATCATCATCATCATCTCCTTTTTCTCCTTCAAAAAATAAACTTTTCATATTTTTGTCATGCATTAGTTTTTGAAACATACGCTCCCGTTGATTCACCTTTCATTTATACTTTCTTGTTCAAGAGTCTTTTGTTGAAGTTGATCACTCAATGCTTGAACTTTATCTTTTAAAGCAACAACCTCTTCTGAGGATGTTGCATGATTAGAAATGATATTTTTTCAGATGATTTGATAGTAGCGGCTAGTGATCATAATCCAAATATGCACCATTTCTTGTTTATACCACCAATCACTTTCATGTGTTAAATTGTAATTCAGTGTATCGAAACTATGTATCGAAAATATTTGAGTTGTTTTAGATTTAAATAGATTTTATTTAAGTCTAGAATATATTAGATTTGATTTAGTAACAAAATGGATATTTTGGGCTTTGGGCTTAGGGTGTAAGCTCAGTTATAAATAGAGGGATTAACCCCTATTTTTTGTAAGCAAGTCCAACAAATCATTCACAGTATTTTGCAGTTGCAAAGTGAATAATAAAGTTTTCATAGTTTGTGAGCAGAGAGAAACACTGTAGAAATTATTTGTCTTGTCTTCTTTTTTTGTTTGTCTCATAATTAAATTGTCATTGTGGTAGAAATTCATCAGAGACTTTGGTGAATTTCCAACATCTGGTATCAAGAGCTTTGTTTCGATTCAAGGGAAGTATCAATCAAGAACGATTGAAGAATTCACGATAACAAGTTATGAGAATGCAAACTATCCAACAACGCTACCAATTCTGAAAGTTGACAACTATGAGAATTGGTGCAAACAGATGAAAGTCTTATTCAGGTGTCAAGGACTTTAGGATCTTATAAAAGATGAAGTCGAAGCGCTTGGAGAAAATGCTTCAGAAGAAGAAAAGAAGAAATACACAGAATCTGAGAAGCTGAGTTATAAAGCATTATTTATAATTCATAAATATGTCAGCCCAGACAATTTCGAAATGGTTAGTGATTCAGAATCTGCAAAAGAAGTTTGGGAAATCCTCGAGAAGTCTTTTGGAGGTGCTGAGAAAGTGAAAGAAGTGAGGTTACAAACTCACAAAAGGAAGTATGAACTGCTTCAGATGGAAGACAGTGAAAGCATATCTGATTTCTTCACTAGAGTTACAAAACTAGTAAATCAAATCAAGATATGTGGAGAAAGGTTAACAACAAGAGCTGTTGTTTAGAAGATCTTGAGATCTTTAGCTCCTAAGTTCGACCACATAGTGGTGGCGATAGAAGAGGGGAAAGACTTTTCGAAATTGACAAAGGAAGAGCTTCAAGGGACGCTTGAATATCATGAACAAAGAATGAATGAAAGAGCTGCAGAGAAATCGAAGAGTGATGTGGCCTTGCAGGCACATTCAATAAAAGAAACCAAAGGCAAAGAAAAATGTTTCGACAGAGGTAGAGGTGGCTATAACAAATTGAATGGTAGAGGAAACCAGATCGAAGGAAACGTGTCGAATCAAAGAAGACCATACCAAGGCAATCAAAGAGGTGGTGTTGCAAATAGAGGAAGAGATGGTGGTCGAAAACCTGATAAGAGTCACATTCAATGTTACAATTGTCAGAAGTATGGACACTATTCGAGTGATTATCCAGAAAAACGAAAGAATCAAGAAAGTGATGCAAAGCTTGCAAAACATGAAGAAGAAGAAGAGATGATGCTGATGGTCACAACAAGAGATGAAGATAGATTCAAGGACCAATGATACTTGAATTCATGATGCTCATCACATATGACTGGAAGGAAAGACTGGTTTGTTAATATAAAACCCTCAATGAAAAATATGGTAAAATTTGCAAATGACAATACCCTAGCAGCTGAAGGTATTGGTGATGTTATGATTATGAGGAAAGATGGCAAGAGGTCAGTAATTTCCAATGTGTTGTACATACCAGGCATGAAGAACAATTTGCTCAGTATAGGGCAGTTGGTCAAAAAGAATTATGAAGTGTCAATCAAAGATAAGATGATGAGAGTCGTTGATACAAATGGGAGATTAATCTTGAAGGCTCTTATGTCTCAAAATCGAACCTTTAAGATTGAACTAAATGTGATGGAGCACAAGTGCCTTTCGACTGCAGCTAGCAGAGATGAATGGATATGGAATTATAGACTAGGCCATCTCAACTTCAGAGACATTAGAGATTTGAAGAGAAAGAATATGGTTTTAGGATTTCCAGAAATCGAAATTCCAAACGAAGTATGTGAGGAATGTGTGCAGGAAGCAGATCGAAGGCTATTCTTGAAGTCATATAGTCTGATGTATGTGGACCAATCCAGGTGGATTCGATGGGAGGTAACAAATACTTTGTTACATTTATAGATTATTTCAGTAGAAAACTATGGACTTACCTGATCAAGAAGAAAAGTGAAGTGGTCGAAGTATTTGCCAAGTTTAAGTCTATGGTCGAAAGACAAAGTGGTCGAAAGCTCAAAGTTTTGAGAACTGATGGTGGTGGAGAATATGTGTCGAAATATTTCGACAGGCTATGTGAAAAGGAAGGGATTATGCATGAGGTGGTGCCACCCTATACTCCACAACAAAATGGAATTGCAGAAATGAAGAAACGAACCATCATGAATATGGTGAGAAGTATGTTGAAAGGCAAGAATTTACCTAAAGAGTTTTGGGATGAAGTTGTTTCGACTGTAACATACATTTTGAACAGATGTCCTACAAAGAAGCTAGAAGGAATTACTCCAGAAGAATATTGGTCTGGTGTGAAGCCTAGCTTGAGCCATCTGAAGGTATTTGGATCTATTGCACATAGACATGTTCCAGATCAGTTGAGAAGAAAACTTGATGACAAGTCAAGTCAAATGATTCTAGTTGGATATCATTCGACAGAAGGCTACAAGTTGTTTGATCCAGTGAAAAAGCAGATTGTGATCAGCAGGGACGTGAACATAGATGAGTTTAAAGAATGGGATTGGACTAAAAATATGAAGAAAGATTTAGTGGGAATCCTATTTGAAGACCCAGAATCTCAAGGCAAAAGAGAAGTTCGACAAGAGGAACCAAAAGATATACCAAGTACAAGAAGACCTCAAAGAACAAGAAACATGCCTGCAAGATTGCAAGATTGTGTGATTACATCAGATGATGTGATAGATAATGAAGGTGAGCTGGTACATTATGCTTTCTATGCAGATGTCGAACTCGTTAATGCAGCTGAAGCATTGAAGGATTTGAAGTGGGTGAAAGCAATGAACGAAGAAGTGAAGTCTATCTAAGACAACAACACTTGGTCACTTGTCGAATTGCCTCAAGGCAAGAAGGCAATTGATGTCAAGTGGGTACACAAAGTAAAAACGAATTCGAAAGGGGAAGTAACTCGACACAAAGAAAGGCTTGTGGCGAAAGGATTTCTACAGAAAGAATGAATAGACTTCGATGAAGTTTTTGCACCTGTTGCTAGAATCGAAACAATCAGGTTGGTTATTGGTCTAGCAGAAATAAACAGTTGGCACATATTTCAGATGGACGTGAAGTGTGCATTCCTAAATGGACCCTTAGAAGAAGAAGTTTATGTTAAACAACCAATTGGGTTTGTGAAACATGATGATGAGAGAAAGGTGTACATGCTACATAAAGCCCTGTATGGATTGAAACAACCTCCAAGAGCTTGGAATAAGAAAATTGATAGTTTTTTAAGGGAGAAGGAATTTGTGAAGTGCACAACTGAACATGGAGTATATGTAAGAAGAAGCAAGAGTAAATTGCTTATACTATGTCTCTATGTAGATGATTTGTTGATGACAGGTATCTGTAAAAGTGAGATCGAAAACTTCAAAGGTGGTCTAAGCAAGGAATTCAAAATGTATGATTTGGGTGAGATTTCATATTTCCTTGGTATCGAATTCTACAAGAGCATTAGAGGTTTGATGATGCATCAAAGAAGATATGCAGGAGAAATTCTCAAGAGGTTTGAGATGGAAGAATGCAACTCAACTTCGACACCTGCAGAACCAAGACTGCAACTATCGATAGATGTAGATGAAGATGATGTTGATCCAACCCAATACAGAAGACTTATTCATTGAGACACCTTTGTCGTACAAGGTATGACTTAGCATATAGTGTAGGTATGGTAAGTAGATTCATGCAGAAGCAAAAGTTATCACATCTAGCAGCAGTGAAGAGGATACTAAGGTATCTCAAAGGAACTTTCGATTATGGCATTTTGTTTCCTGCAGCTGATAAAGGAAAAGAATGCAAGTTAGTGGGATACACTGATTCGAATTGTTGTAGTGATGCTGAAGATCGAAAATCAACAGCGGGATATGTGTTTATGCTAGGTGGTTTACCAGTTACTTGAAATTCAAGAAAGGAACCAATAGTGGCGTTATCATCATGCGAAGCAGAATACATAGTTGCTTGTCCTTGTGCATGTCAAGCAACTTGGATGGTGAATTTGGTCGAAGAGATAACAAGGAAAGATCATGGAGCAATTACCATGAAGATCGATAACATGTCAGCTATTAATCTGGTAAAGAACCCAATAGCACATGGTCGAAGCAAGCACATTTAAATGAGGTTCCATTATCTTCGAGAGCAAGTAACAGATGGGAAGATGAATTTGGAACACTGCAGAACTGAGAATCAGATTGCAGACATCGTGATGAATGGAGTGCAAGTCGAAGTATTCAGAAAGCTAAGAGTCATGATGAACGTAGATAGTTTAGAGACAATGAATTAGGTGGTGTGTTAAATTGTAATTCAGTGTGTCAAAACTATGTGTCGAAAAGATTTGATTTGTTTTAGATTTAAATAGATTTGATTTAAGTCTAGAATATATTATATTTGATTTAGTAACAAAATAGATATTTTGGGCTTTGGGCTTTGGGCTTTGGGTGTAAGCTTAGTTATAATATAGAGATTAACCCCTATTTTTTATAAGCAAGTCAAACAAGTCATTCACAGTATTTTGCAGTTGCAAAATGAATAATAAAGTTTTCACAGTTTGTGAGTAGAGAGAAACTCTGCAGAAATTATTTGTCATGTCTTCTTTTTTTGTTTGTCTC